GGCCCCTTTCTCGGCCCGTTAGGCCCCGTCGCGGCTTGTCGCGGCCCCTTCGCGGCCCGTTAGGCCCCTTCGCGGCCCGCCCAGGCCCTTCCCCGGCCCCTTTCTCGGCCCGTTAGGCCCCGTCGCGGCTTGTCGCGGCCCCTTCGCGGCCCGTTAGGCCCCTTCGCGGCCCGCCCCGGCCCTTCCTCGGCCCCGTCCTGGCCCTGTCCCGGACCTGCCCCGACCCAGGCCCCGCCCTCATGCCGGTCGTGGCGCACCAGGGGCCCGTGCACCGCCCCCCCCCCCTTTTTCCGTCGCCTTGCGTGGCGAGCGGGGGGGGGGGGGCGCGCGCGGGGCGACCTGGGGGGGCGCGCGTCGCCCCTTCTTCCGCCTGCTCTGGCGCCCTGGGAGGCCGCGCGTCGGCCCCCGTACTCCTCCCCCCCCCCCCCCCCCCCCCCTCAGGTCGCCTCAACAGGCGACGGGAGGGGCGACCTGGGGGGGGGGGGGCACGCGTCGGAGCAGCCGCCCCTGGTGCAGCCGCCCCTGGAGCAGCCGCCCCTGGTGCAGCCGCCCCTGGAGCAGCCGCCCCTGGTGCAGCAGCCCCTGGAGCAGCCGCCCCTGGTGCAGCCGCCCCTGGTGCAGCCGCCCCTGGAGCAGCCGCCCCTGGTGCAGCCGCCCCTGGAGCAGCCGCCCCTGGTGCAGCCGCTCCTGGACCTCAGCAGCCGCCCCTGGCCCCTGGCCCCTGGAGCAGCCGCCCCTGGACCCCGCGCCGCCGCCCTTTTCTCCTCTCCCTCCCCCTGCTGCGGGTGCAGCAGTGGGGGGGAGGGGATCTGCCATCCCCCTGGTGCGGATGCGGCAGTGGGGGGAGGGGACCTGCAGCACCTGCCTGCCCCCCCCACCACCCCCCCCCCCCCCCCCCCCCCCCCCCATCTCTCTGCTGCGGGTGCAGCAGTGGGGGAGGGTATGGGGGTGGCGGGTGTGGCCAACCCGCCAGCCCTGCTGCGCCCCGCGCGCCCTGCTGCCATGTGCGCCCCGTGCGCCCTGCTGCCCTGCTGCCCTGTGCGCCCCGCGCGCCCTGCAGCCCTGTGCGCCCCGCGCGCCCTGCTGCCCTGTTGCCCTGTGCGCCCCGTGCGCCCTGCTGCCCTCTGCACGCGCCATGCACAGCACCCCCCCCCCTTCTCCTCCATCCCCTGCTGCAGGTGCAGCAGTGGGGGAGGGTATGGGGGTGGCGGGTGTGTGGCATCCCCTGCTCCTCCTCCTACTCCGTCTCCCACTGCTGCAGCTGCCGCTGAGGGGGGTGGGTGTGTGTGAGTCGACGGAGTGGTGCTAGGGGGTGGAGTGTGAGTGAACCTAGGGGTGCAGCAGGGGGTGTGTGAATGGGGGGTGCGGCAGTAGAGGGAGGTTGGGTGGAGGTAGCCGTCGTGTTGCTAGCAGTGCCAGTAGTCCGGAGGTGCGCTTCCGGTAGCCCAGTGATGCCGCTGCGCCAGTCGCCCGTGGGTCCGTTGCTCCTGCCGCTCGTCTTAGCCGCGGAGCCAGTTACTCCTGTAGTCCGGAGGTGCGCCTCCGGTAGCCACAGTGCGCGCCGCTCCTGTTGCCCGTGTGTCTGCAGCTTCCGCCATTGCCTCCTCTCTCCTTTCCTATTAGTCCAGCCTCCTCCTCCTCACTTGCCCTCTGTGATAGCCTCTAGCTTTGCTTACATTTGTGAACTTTAAACTGTTGCTTCTTGCACTTGTGCTCAGAATGTGTGGTGACATTGTGATCCACCCTGAGCTTGCTTTGCTTTGCTTGTTGTGCTGATCATACCCCACTTTGACTATGGGGGTGTGTCAGAATATTATGTTTCTCTAGTCTGCAGTGGGGTACTTTGTAGTGAGTACAACCCTGTTAGGGTTTTCTATATGTATCCCAATGTTTGCTAGTGAATCGATCCTCACTCATTCCTTCTCGATTCTCACAAGTACATATAGCAAACCCTAATTCGGGCTGTACTCGCTATAGAGTACCCCACTGCAGGCTACACAAACATCACATTCTGACAGGGGGAATGTCAGCGACTGAGTCAAGGCTTCGCGAAATATTTAGAAACTTCCGCAACCAATCAGATTTCAGCCGAAGTCTCTTTACAGTTCGGAATCACTTTAAGCCGAAGTGTTCACGCTTTCTACAGGTTTCTACAATCCAGAATCAGCTATATCAGAGAATTCCAGAGCCTTCTTATTCTATCACCTCATATGGCTCTCAAAGTCACTCAAGATCCATGGATGCAGAATTGTGCCCAAGTTCTCAAGGGAGTTGCTTTGTCTAGCAGCCTAGTTTTGAGCTACTTATCTACCTTTGTTTGTGATGCTTAAAGAGTTGTGTTTTAGTGGGCTTGTATAATCTTGACCATAGTGAAGTTTTTTTCCCTCATCCAGCCAAATTCCAGCAGCTCTGTTGAGCCTTTCCAGCCAAGATTCCAGCACTCTAGCAGTCACTATCACCCTGTTTTCAAGTAGAAGGTGGAGTGGGAGGGGGGGGAGGGGGGAGGGGGGGGGGGGGGAGTGAGAGGGGAAAAGGGGGAATGTGAGGGGAATGGGATGGGGGAGAGAGATGGAGAGGCAGGGAGCTAGGGGTAGGCGTGGCGAGGGCGGGACCTGGGAGCATGATGAGTAGCTCCTGCAGCATGGGGAAGCACATTGAAGCACTGCTGCTGCTTCCGTTGCTGATGCGCCCGCTCGACACAGCCCTGCCTGCTCTGTGCCAGCAGATGGGGGCCCGTCCGACCCTTTGCTGTTTCCCTCGTCATCCTCCCGCTGCTCCTCGGAATGGGGGAGGGAGGCAGAGTCTATGGACGGATTATGAAAGCTTGAGTTAGAATTACACTCTATGATGTGGATTGAAAATCAAGCCCTATTAGTACCATGGAATGTGCATGCACAAATAACTTATCTCTTCTCTGCAATACCTGTAAACAAAATTGACTGTTTCCCCTTTAGCTGGAGGAGTTCGAGAGGAGAAACTTCTAACGAGGCTCTTTATGCCCTGTACTGTCGAGGCGCTCTCAGGACGGTCACTCGACATGCAGACTTCCATGTCTGGTCAACTGTGGACACAATCGAGGCAGAACCTCTCTGGCTACTCTTCTCTCTGATGGGCGTCATCAGTAATCAGGTACAGCGGGGCTTGGGTTTCCAAACAGCATGTGTATGTCTAAATGCTCTTTTTCTCACAATTGTGTTGCTTCGAAGACGATCCGTTGTCCCTCTTAGTGTTTGTCGACCATGGATTCTCGCGTTTGCTGTGATAAACAGCCTGCTTGTTTTTTGCGATTCGAAGTATTCTGACCTTGAGAATTGTGCGAGAGACCTGGTCGCTCACGAAAACGACGGAGTTCGCCAGGTTTGCCTAGATGCGGCGAACCTGTGTGCAGCATACAAGTTAAAGTTGTCGACCGAGTGCGTGAGCATTCAAGCGAAGTTGCAGGCGCTTTCGGAACTCGAAGCACCTGGTAAGTCATTGCACGGAAAGTTTTTCGGCGGTTGCTTTCGGAGGAAGTATTTTTTTTTTCGCTAATGGCGTTCTACTTACTCCAGGCGGTGAAGACCTGGAAGAGTTCTGTATCATTGGTAGCGAGACCTTGAAGGAGCTGAAAAGGTTGATCGAAGACTCCGACGGTGTCAACAGGGATGCGAAGAAGCTTCATCTGAAAATATGTTTGAGTAAAGACGAGCAATCCAAGTTGAAAGAAGACTCTCAACATGATGCCAAGAAAAAAACCAAGGTAATTTGTAGGCGATGTACTGTCAACCGTTAAAGCTCTCTTCCACACGCGCTCAGTGTTAGCGTTTTCTTCACAGGTAGTAGATGCACGGAAAAAGACGGACGCTGCCCTGACGTTGGCTGTGGCTGGCGCCGTTGTGATTCCATGGTTTGTGTTTGGTGCTACCGCGGCAGGAGTTATGGCAGGCTATGGAGGTACAGAAGAACGTCATGTTACGTTGCTGTTTGCTTCTCTTCACAATTTTCTCGTTCTCTAACGTGTCTGCTTTCTTGACAGGTCTTATGGGTCTGCTTGTGTCGAAACAATTCATTGACAAGGTGAAGCTGAGTTAAACAAGAAAACAGAAGATGCTGTGAAAGCGGATACCAGTTGGTGGCTGCCTACACGAAGCTGGACTTCTCTGCATCCCCATTCTCCCAAGGCCTAGACAGGGTAAGCTAAGCATAGCCAGCACATCACCCAGGTACATTATCATGCCAGTGCAACTTAACTTCTTGTTACACTCTTGTGTGTTTCAGCTGGGTGGTCACCTTCAAGCACTGGAGGACGGACTGGACGATTTGCTTATTAGTGTGAAGGACAACAAGTTTCACCAAGCTTTCTTGCTCAGGAAGCAGTTGGAGGAGCTGATGAATCGTCCGCGGTCATAAAGGGGGGATGGCTCGCAGGTTACACAAGTGTTGTACACTATCTACCTGTTAACCGTGATGTTGAGCATCGTGGTAATTTCAGTTGCAATTAGAAGGCACTAAACTCAAACCGCTGAGTCTGTGAAAGCTGCAACAGCTCCAAACTTGCATGAAGAAGAGGATCTGAAGATGCCAGAAGAGACTGCAGACACTGTTCTGCATCTCTCCTCTCCGCAATCTCACCCCGGCAATCCGATTCACCCATCTGATCTTGCGAAGAGCTCTGTAGACTATCAGCAGAATTAGAGTCCAAGCTCCCTTCCAGCTCACCACCAGCTTTTGCCACCTTCAATGCTTCATTCCGCAAGATGACTAGAGTGGCTCCTGTAAGCTCCATATCACCCACTGACAGTGAGGGTGCGTGCCACAGAAGCATCTTGAGCGTCGGGAGCGGGGTGCGGGGGGAGTAGGCATTGGAATGCTCCCCAGATGCATTCTCCGCTTCAGCCCTGCGTAAGCAAGCCAACTGCAACACAGGGAGAAAACAAGTATTGGATAAGATTAGCCACAAATTGTGGTCACACACACGTTATACGTCAGCAGTATGATACACGCTTCATACTCTCTCATCATCATACCTGTTCAGGTCCAAGAGAGAGGCTGCCCTGGCCTTGCACGTCAGCAATGGCCACCTGCCTCAGCTCTGGCAGCTGCCTTGCAATGCGCCTCAGCAGCTCATGGCGAGCAGATGCCGCCACAGCAGCACTGATGGTCCATGCAATGCGCTCCTTGAGGCCGTTTGGCGTGAGGCGGATGGGGGGAGGGCGGAACGGCTGACGCCGGGCCGATGAGGTAGGGAAGCAGGACGATGTGGGGGACGTTGGGGCTGGATATCGGATTGAAGCGGATGGTAAAGAGGGGGTGGAGTGGGGATATGGTGATGGGCGCCGTGATGGGCCTGGGCTTGGGGTTGTGGATGCAGCAGCATGCACTTGGGTAAGGAAAGGAGGGCGATGGTTGGTGAAACTACTCCCACTGTTGCTACTACTGCTGCCACTTTCACTGGCCCTGCTCCGACGGTTTGTATCACAAGCAGAGCGACCAGAGGAAAGGCCCCCGCTTTGGTTACGAGCACCACCATTGCCCTTGCTGCAGTCATCAGCAAAAGCATTCTGATGGACACAGTGACCTGCAGTGTTAGTGTTACTACTACCAGAGGAAGACGCAGCAGCTCCTCTGTCACTGGCGTTGGTAGTACTCCTTCTCAGGGCTTCTACAAGGTCAGTTGGCCTGTTGTGATCCGAGTAACGGCTATCCATGCAGGTAGTGCCTCCATTCCCTCTGCTACTGATAACAGTGTCACTACTTGCAGAGGCACCCGGGTTGTTAAACTCACTGTTGCTGCTGCTGCTCTCGGCATTGCCTGCTGCAGTGTTTCCACTAGACTGGGCAGGAGCAGCTGTGTCTGTGCCACTAGCAGTGCTGCAGCCATTAGACATCTGCGTGTGACTAAGTCCATTCCTGTTGAGGCCGCCACCACTGCCACTGCTGCTCCCACTACCACTGCTGCTCCCGCTCCCACTGCCTCTGCCATTGTCACTGCCGCTTGCACCATGAACTAAAGCAGCCGCACGGCCCCTGCTTGCAGCCAGCAGGCGAGTCATGGAGGAGAGAGAGCGAGCCGGGACAGGTGGCGGCATCCCAACAGCCGGACGCTCGTTCCGATTATGCTGTTGGGAGGAATCTGTAATGTCCACCACCCGGGAAAAGCCCAGTCTAGCCACAATGCACCCGCCCCGTTGCTCCAACTGCCCTGCGTTCCCTCCGTCACCAGAATCCACCACAGAGTATTTCTTAAGCTCCGCCTTCTCTTTCCCCTTCCCCTTGTCTTGTCCCTTTCCGCGGTCGCCAGAGCGTTGCTGCCTGTACCCCGTCCGTCTTCCTTCTGGACCAGCATCTCCCTGTGTATTTTCGTGGCAGGGAGACAGTTGAGAGGTCCCATTGCAGTGCTCGGGGGGATGAGAGGGCGAGGTGGAGCCTGGAGAAGAGGAGGAAGGAGAGGTGTGCATGGCGGTGGCTTGCTGGTGGGATGTGCTGGAAGCAGTGGTGGTTCCTTGTCTGGGTGAAGAAGACGTGCCAGCAGGTGACATCCAGTCCCACAGGGGCGCCCAGAGGGGAGGCTGTGATGAGGTGCGAGAGAGAGAGGGGACACGTGCAGGCCGGCGGTTTGACAGGGATGTTCCTTGGTGGGGGCAGGAGACAGTCGGAGGAGGAGGAGCGGGAGAAGGGGGAGAGGGGGGAGCAGGTGGAGCAGAAGGAGGAGGAGAGTGAGAAGCAGGAGGAGTGGAAGGAGGAGGGGAGGCGGATGGGGTGGGGGTGGAAGACGTTGGGGAGGGAAGGTGAGAGATGGGGGTGGGGTGGGAGAGGAGGGAGATGGAGTCAGCTGCAACGATGGCGCAGGAGGAGAGCGTTTCGTTGAAGTCCGCGTACCAATGCAGCGATGCCTCTCTGTCTAGCGAGAACTCGCAGTCTGGGATGGGATGGCATGGCATGGCACAGTCGCACGCACGGACGAAAGGGACGCAGGGAGGGGAGGGAGGGAAGAGAGGGAAGGGAGGGGAGGGAGGGAGGGAAGGGATGAAAGAGATGGGATAGATGCAGGAGTTGAAGGCACACAGGACGCGGACGAGAGGATGGGCGAGGGGGAATGACGGGGGCGGAGGGGGAGGTGGAGTGGGAGGGGAGGGGAGGAGGTGAGAGAGGAATGGGGGGAGGGTGAGCGGGTTAGGATCGGGGAGGGAGATGGAAAGGCAGGGGGGTGGGGGAGGCGAGGGCGGGACCTGGGAGCACGATGAGCAGCTCCTGCAGCATGGGGAAGCGCCGCACCACGTCCTCCACATCGAAGCACTGCTGCTGCCGCTGCTGCTGTACTTGGACGACACTACCCCGCCCGCCGCGCCCGTCCCGCCCGCTCTGTCCCAGCTGAGACGAATGGTCCGATCCGCTGCTGCTCCCCTCGCCGTCCTCCCGCTGCTGCTGCTGCTGCTGCTCGCAATGGCGCGAGGGAGGCACGGGGAAACACGAGCATGCACGGAAAGAGCATGAGACCGCAGCGGCGGTCAGCAGAGTGTCTTAAATGGAAGTGAACAGCGGAAGACTAAGCCCAGAGACGCGTCTCAACCTCAAAGCTCTGCTATTGAGCAACAAGAGAGGCGCTGGCGCAAAAAAATCACGAAGAATCAAGTTACACTGTAACCAATGAGAGAGTGCGCGCGCGCTCGCGCTTCTCGTTCCCCCACTTGGAAAGATCGCAGAAGGCTGGCCATGGCGCTCTTCAACTGAGTCATGGCTCTGCCCTTCCCGGCCGAGGAAGACGCGGAGGACGAAGAAGAAGACGAAGAGGAAGAGGCAGACGCGGGTCCTGTAGTGTCCGCCGCCGCTCCCGCCTTTAGAAGGTTGTCAACGGATACCACTGCCGTGCTGACACGTGGCACACAGGCACGCAGCCGACGGCAAGATGCAGCGCACGCCCCGAGCGCTGCATGGGACGACCGGGGAATTGTAAAGAGCGACGGTGTAACTTGTATTGGAAAAGCGCGGGGTGAGCGGCAAACCGGGGAGCGGGTGGAGAGTGAAAAGCACGGGAGATTGAGTGTAGAAGTGAAAACAGCGCGTGAAATGCATGTTACGGCAACGATTCCGTGAAGCTTACACTTGACATCGCTGACTCGATTCAGAATGACAAGAATGACGTCATCCGGAAGGTCGCGAAGGGAAGGCGCGTCCTCGGTACTCATGGCAGCCGATCGCAAAACGAAACTCGAGTCGCCGTGGTGGATACGCGGAGCGGTTATGCACGTCTCGATAGAAGCTGGAAATTTGAGAGAAACTCGGGCGAGTTGGACGGGTATGGTGTACTGCAGCCGTCGGGAACAGCAGGCCGAATAAACTACTGGGCCAGCATGATGTGGTGGCCGAATAAAGAACTCCTGACTGAGCGTGCGTCGCTGAAAAACGAGTGAAGGACAAGACAAGACGAGACTAAACAGAAAGATCAAGAGAAGTGCCTGCAGAGCAGGAGGGCAGTTGTGCTGGGTGCGGGGAGATGGGCGGTGGAAGAAACTGCGGGGAGCGGAGCTGATGCGCGGAACCATGACGGAAGTTACTGGGGACTGGGGGAGGAATTGGGGGAAGTTTTGGAGCGGCGGAAATGGTTGACGGCTTGGACTGTGGATGTACTGTTGTTACGAGTGCAATTGAGTGAGCGAGAATTGCACTATCGAAGCAAGGGCACAATGAGAGAAGGTATAGCGAAACTACAGTGGTAACGGTAATGTGTGGAAAAGGGAAAATATGCCACAAGTAACCAACTTGGAACTTGATAACGTGAATGATAAAAAAAAACCGCGTACGGTCACTGTATCGGGTTTTCTGACGAGTTTGGTAAGCGGGGTCACGGATTCAGTCACTAACAACAGGTAAAAAAATCACGCGAATGGTCACACATGTAACTCCCGCCAAAAAAACTTGAAACTCAACAAAATTCCCGCTCGCGCCCAACCAATCTGCGAAGTTGTAAAAAAACTAAAACCCAATCGGAATCGGATGCGGTTTGGGAACGGATCAACCCTAAACACCTGGCGAGTTACGTGTTTAGGGTTGATCATCCGAAAATGCATCCAGGTTCTTTCTGGGTTTCATTTTGTTCAAGCGGGAGTTTCATCTGTGACCATTCGCGTTTTTTTTTACCAGCTGATTGTGACTGATTCCGTGAAACGCTTTATCAGTCGCGTGAAAACACCCTTTGCAGTGACCGTACCCTTTATTTTTTTACCAAAAATGTTTTCGAGTCCCATGATGGTTACGAACGGCATATTTTCCCTGTGGAAAATGGGGGTGCGCGACGGGCCTAGCGCCGAGGTTGGGATTTGTCGAGGCGGAGGTCCGGAGTGCGGGTTACCAACCGAACCGTGAGGTTGGGTCGCGTCGTGAACAGCGGGGGGAACAGTGTCGAGGCGAGTGTCGCGAGTGGTAACGGATTACCACTGTTGGGTGCTGTTGGCAGGAAACAATAGTGTACGCTCTGAACAGGGACGCGAAGTAAGGAAAATGGATTTTCCTTACACTACCCCCCACCCCCCCCCCCCCCCCCTCAGGAGGCCCTCCTTACGAAAGTGCGTGTACATCCCGGAAATTTCGGCTGCGCAGATACTCGGTGAGGACGGGGTGGTTTTCAACTATGTCCAGGGGAACCCAGTTGTCTTCAGTGGGCGTACGGTCTTTCCAACGGATCAGAAATTCGATCATTCGAGCTCCCCGTGGGTCACGAAATCGGTGGCTCATAATCTTTTCGGGCGTGATGATTGGTTCTGTCGACGGTCGTGTCATGCTGGCTAGGCGGTTGCGGGGCAGTTGGCTGGTGGATGGAACGTAAGGGCGAAGCAGGCTTACATGGAAGGACGGGTTGATGTACCAGTCAACAGGGAGGAGGAGGTGGGCGGTGACGGGTGTGATCATGTGGCTGATGCGAAATGGCCCGCAATATCGGGGGCGGAGTTTCGGGATGATGGGCAGGCAGAGGTTTTGGGTGTCGAGGAAAACTAGGTCGTCGGGCTGGTAAGTGACAGGTCTGCGGTGGCGGTCGGCGTTGCGTTTAGCGATGACATTGGCCTCTTTAATTGCGTCGGCTGCCCGGGTCCATGCTGCTTGTAAGATCTCTGCGAACTATTGCGCGCTTGGTACTGGGTTGTCGGTGTCAGTAGATCTGCACTGTGGATGCCCGATTGATCCTATGGGGGTTACAGGCGCGTTGTCCTAGGGGGTTATGGGCGCACGGACCCGCTACTTAACAAGCCCTTTTATCCCAATGGTCTAGTGGTTGGGATTCTGACATGGTATCAGAGCGGTCTCGGGTTCGAATCCCGGTCTATGCACATGTAGGCCGTTGCCGCTGTGCTCAGTCCTGGGCCTCCCAGTGTGGGGGGGTGTCAGTAGATCTGCACTGTGGATGCCCGATTGATCCTATGGGGGTTACAAGCGCGTTGTCCTGGGGGGTTATGGGCGCACTGACCCGCTACTTAACAAGCCCTTTTATCCCAATGGTCTAGTGGTTGGGATTCTGACAGTCGGGATTCGGGGTCATGGGTACTGTAGGGTCTTGTCCGTAGTTCAGGTAAAACGGTGACTGTTGGGTCATGGCGGATGGCGAGTTGTTGTACGCGAATTCGATGAGTGGCAGTTGCTGTTCCCAGGTGGTCGGATCGTCACACGTGGCTCGGATGAGTTGCTCCATGGTTTGGTTTGTCCATTCTGTCTGTCCGTCGGTTTCGGGGTGGTACGAAGAACTAAACTGTAGTCGCGTGCCGAACTGCTGCCATAGGTTCCGCCAGAAGTTGCTGGTGAATTTCGTGTCGCGGTCGCTGATGATTGCTGCTGGTATCCAGTGCAGTCGAACGACGGTGGAGATGAAAAGGTGGGCTGTTTCTTCGGCTATGATTGATTTCTTGCAGGCTGCGAAATGTGCCATTTTCGTCAGCCGATCGACGACGACCAGGATCGCGTCGTTCCCACTTGCTCCGGCCGGTAACCCTCTGACGAAGTCCATCGTCACATGCTGCCAAGCATGCTCTGGGGATGGTATCGGCTGCAACTCTCCTGCCGGCCGCTTCCGTGATGATTTCATGAGTTGGCTGGTGGGATACGATGCCACGTGTCGCTGCACGTCGGTCAGCATTTCGGGCCAGTAATAATACCGCTGCAGTTGCTGCCGCATTTTATCTACTCCGAAATGGCCTGAGGTAACTCCGTCGTGTGCCTCTTGTAGCAGTAATTCCCGTAGTAACGTGTAGCTCGGTACCCAGATTCGGTCGGTGCCGGCTTTTACGTAATAAACTCCCTTTGCTGCTGCGAATTTCCTCCTGTGAAGAATGGGTCAGTCTGATAGCCGTAGGTAAATAGTACTGTCAGTAGTGGGCTGGTCTGAGGGAGTACCGTATTCTCCCAGACATAACACCCTAGGGTATAGCTAAAAATACAGGGAAAAAATGGGGGGGTCTCCTCATAGGAAAAAAATACATAATACCCAGGTCTTATTATATTGCACATTTTTTTATAAGCAGAAATGAATGGAAACAAAAACAGGGGTCTGGCCTTATTATTATTTTTTTGATCAGGGCCGCCAAACCGCGTCTACGAGGATAACGTCGGCCTCCACTGGAATCTGCCACATGGCAAATTCCAGTGGGCCCACTGTGCCACCTGATTGGTTGACATCAGTGCCAACCTCGCGCAGCTTGGGTTCATGCAGTACGAGGCCGGAATCGCGCACGGTGCTGTGTTGTCACTGTACCTGTGACCCCTTGACTGCCGTGTACGGTAGTCACGTCCAAGCTTCCTCACCCAAGCTTGCTCTTCTCTTCGTCAAGCGGTTCCAGTGCACGTCTTTGACAAGTGCTTGGCAGGCTGTGAGAGCGTCTCCTTCCTGTGCACGAGGGTATCGTCTTTAAAGTCATTTCTCCCATGGCGAGTGACATCGACCTGCCTTAGTTCCCAAGCATGGCTTCATCTCCAGATTCTAGCAGTACGGTAGATAGGCGGCAGCGGCCTGTTTCCACCAATCAGACTAGCGCTTCTGCACGCGCACGGACGTCTCCTCGCCCGATCTTTCCCCGGTAGTGCTTCTACCAGGGATGAACCGAGCAGTAGCTTGGACCGTCCTCGCCCTACCCTTCCTCGAGTGGTTGTCCCCAAGTTCCCGGAGCGGAACCGCCCGCAGGGACAGCAGAAGCGCAACGCCGATGCTGACCCGCCATCCCCTCGCCATCGCATGACGAAACGCCAGCGCAAGGGAATCACTGCGAAGGAGAAGCTCCACTGGTTGAAGATGCAGGACTCGCAGCCCGACCTGTCGAATCGCGCCCTGGCGAAGCTCGCGATGGTGCAGCCATGCCAGATCCGCGATTGGAAGAAGATGAGGGAGCGGCTGGAGGTCTCTTCCAGCTGCCGTCGTCGCCTCATGGGAGCTGGCCGCAAGTCCAAGTTCCCTTTCATGGAACGGGCGGTCTACCGCCAGTTCCTCAAGCACAGGGGGAGGGGGCTCGCCGTTTCGGTCAGCATGCTCCAGAAGTGGAGCGCCAAGTACATGAAGCACCGGATGCCCGGGGTCAACTGGCGCGCATCGTTCTGCTGGGCGACTCGTTTCCGCGCGCGCTGGCATCTGGCGAGGCGGGTGAAGACGAAGATGGGACAGAAGTTGGCAGCGGGTAAGTGTTGCGCCGTCGTGCTCCTTGATTGCCATCTCAGTGCTGAGCTAATGTGTCTCGTGGCTTTGCTTGCAGATTGCAAGGCCAAGGTGGAGTCCTTCTGGGAGTTTGTGCGCCAGATGCGCTCTCTGCACGACTACCCGCTTGACCTCATCTTGAACGCGGACCAAACCCCGCTTTTCCTGGAGATGCCGGCGGAGCGCACGCTCGAAATGAAGGGAGCGCGGACGGTTCACGTACGGAGTGCGGGCTATGAGAAGGAGCGTGTTACTGCCATGCTGGCAGTAACTGCGAGCGGGCTCAAGCTGCCGCCGTACGTGGTGTTCAAGCGCAAGACCATACCGAAGGTGCCCATCCCTGCCGGTAAGCGTAGCACGTTTAGCATGATGTCACTACTCTAGCCTGTCAACAGTCGCAACCGAATTTGACCCTGACGTACCGGTATTCTTTGGCAGGTGTGGTGGTCCGTGCACAAGACAAAGGGTGGATGGACGAATCACTTGTGCAGGACTGGATCACCCAGGTGATGGTGCCGTTTCTGAAGCCCTTGCGTGAATCAACTGGACGCCGCAGGGAGGCCTTGGTTGTGCTCGACACCTACCGCGGCCACTTGACTGAGGCGGTCGGGCAGACCATGAGGATGTTTCCGCTGTCACGGGCTGTCATCCCAGGGGGCTGCACTCCGCTAGTGCAGCCTCTGGATGTGTCGATCAACCGCGCGTTCAAGTGCGGTGTGCGTCATCGCTACAGTGGCTGGTTCGAAGAAGAGGGCATCAACACCACCACCAAGTCCGGTGAGTTGAACCATGACATCCGCATGTGTAACTTTGAATCAATGTCGGCTTACGCTCTGGAAATTCACATTTGTCCTTCTCTACCCTTCCCCGTCCCTCAGGCAATCTCAAGAAGCCGCCAGCGGAGTTGGTGCTTCGCTGGATCGATGAGTCCTGGGAAGCAATCCCAGAGGAGCTCGTGAAGAAGGCGTTTGTCACGTGTGGGATCTCCACCCCCATCAATGGCAGCGAGGACCACCTCATCCTTGCCCACATGCGGGACAAGGGTGAGGTGGAAGTCCTTGACGACGTCAACGACCTGGTTGACGACGAGCTCGTCGTCAACCCCTTCTACGCCGAAGTCCCCATGCTGGCCGAGGAGCTGCAGGCGGCGGGAGAGGAGGCTGACGCCGCTGAGGAGGACGCTGAAGCGGTGGTGGCAGAGGAGGAGGGGGGCGTGCTTGAGGAAGGCGGGGAGGCAGAAGAGCCCAGCGATGACGAATGGTGGCGCCCTGGCCGCTTTGACGGGGAATACTGTGAAGAATGGCATGCAGGAGACGATTCTGAGTAGAAGGCACTATGTATAGAGTTTTTTTAGGTGAAATTGTGGATGTGAGGTGCTCTTGTGGTGATGTTTCTGCAGTCTAGGTGACATTGTCGATGACTATGTGCTGGCACATTACTTCTGTAGTACATGTAAAGTACCCTGTATGCAATGTAAGCAAATTCAGTATTTTTGCCGCCCATAACACCCCCCCCCCCCCCCGGGTCTTATACAGAATCAGGCAAAAAGGGGGGTATAGTAGAAACGAGGCTCCCCATAACACCCACCCCGCACAAGCTACCCGGGGGTGTACAATTATGGGGGGGTGTTTTGTCCGGGAGTATACGGTAGTATGGCGTGGATTTGGGCTGTGTGGCGGATTAGTGCGTCGGCGATGTTCGATGCCCCCTTTTTGTAGGTGACCGAGTAGTTAAATTTTGACTCGAGGAAGCCGAGTCAGCGAATCTGTCGTGGGTTGAGGTGGGGCTGTGCGCGGAGGTACTGTAGTGGTTTATGGTCTGTCCGTACTGTCACGTTTGCGCCGGTCAAATAACAGCGCCACACTTTGAACGCGTGCACGATCGCGAGCATTTCGCGATCGTGTATCGGGTAGTTTTTCTCGGGCGGATGCCGTTTTCGTGACTTGTATGCGATGGGCTGTAAACCATTGCCGAAATCCTGTAGCAGTACGGCTCCAATGGCGTGTCAAGATAGCTAATAACTTAGGAGATTAGGTTTAGCCATGGTGAGAGCTACGAGAGGAACGAGCGGAAGGAAATTGTCGAGAAAGAAGAAAAGGTGTTCAATAATGAGAAACAGTACAAGGATATAGGCAAGAACCAAGAATGGTGCACCCCCAACAGTTTATGATAGCTACACTAAACTACAGCTACAAGCAGTTACATATATATTTTCCAACACACCCCCATAACTGCTTGCAGCAGGAGTTTGTGCAGAGTAAAGCAGCAGTAGGCAAGAGCACTGACAACCGGTGCAGTGGTGGCATATTCAGCTGCAACAACCCCTCAACCAAGATAGAAGCAAGCAAAAGGATAAGGTGCATGTGGCGGCAGGTCGCCTGGAGAGCAGGTGCTTGCGGCGGCAGTGTGTGGCGGCACAGCATCACTCAACGGCAACACCTGCCGCTCAACAGCAGCAGACAGCAGTTGGAGGCAGGGGCGCCAGTTGACGATGCCTGGCTGTCTTCCACCACCGCCTCACCCTCCCCCCCACAGTGGCACGCGCGGCCGTGAGAGAGAGAGGAGGAGGGGCGGCTGCTGGCCAGGCAGAATCTCTCTCGCCACCCACTCACACCTCCAAGCTCCCCCTCCTTTCTCCCAACACAACAACAGGTGCAGTAGGGAGAGAGAGGAGGAGGTGATGGGCTCCTGGCTACTCACACCCGCCACCCCCATACTCCCCCCCCCCCCCCCCCCCCCCCAATGCTGCACCCGCAGCAGGGGGATGGAGGAGAAGAGGGGGGGGGCGGAGGGGGGGGGCTGGTGCCGCAGATCCCCTCCCCCCCACTGCTGCACCCGCAGCAGGGGGATGGAGGAGAAGGGGGGGGGGGGGGGGGGCGGGGGGGGCTGGTACTGCAGATCCCTTCCCGCCACCCCATACCCCACCCCCCCCCCACTGATGCACCCGCAGCAGGGGGAAGGAGGAGAAGGGGGGGGGGCGAGGGGCACTCACAAGGGGGTGCGAGGGGCACTCACGAGGGGGTGCGAGGGGCACTCACGAGGGGGTGCGAGGGGCACTCACGAGGGGGTGCGAGGGGCACTCACGAGGGGGTGCGAGGGGCACTCACGAGGGGGTGCGAGGGGCACTCACGAGGGGGTGCGAGGGGCACTCACGAGGGGGTGCGAGGGGCACTCACGAGGGGTTGCGAGGGGCACTCACGAGGGGGTGCGAGGGGCACCCACGAGGGGGTGCGAGGGGCACCCACGAGGGGGTGCGAGGGGCACTCACGAGGGGGTGCGAGGGGCACTCACGAGGGGGTGCGAGGGGCACTCACGAGGGGGTGCGAGGGGCACTCACGAGGGGGTGCGAGGGGCACTCACGAGGGGGTGCGAGGCGCACTCACGAGGGGGTGCGAGGGGCACTCACGAGGGGGTGCGAGGGGCACTCACGAGGGGGTGCGAGGGGCACTCACGAGGGAGTGCGAGGGGCACTCACGAGGGGGTGCGAGGGGCACTCACGAGGGGGTGCGAGGGGCACTCACGAGGGGGTGCGAGGGGCACTCACGAGGGGGTGCAAGGGGCACTCACGAGGGGGTGCGAGGGGTACTCACGAGGGGGGTATGAGGGGCACTCACGAGGGGGTGCGAGGGGCACTCACAAACCCTCCTCCCACTGCTGCACCCGCAGCAGGGGGATGGAGGAGAAGGGGGGGGGGGGGGGCGGTGTAGAAGCTGCTCGGGCAGGAACCCGTCGTTCGCCACCCCCGCCACCCCCATACCCTCCACCCCTTGCTGTACGATCAGCAGGGGGACGGAGGAGAAGGGGGGGGCGGTGCAGGGGCTGTGTGGGCGACCGCAGGTCGCACGAAAAACATCCGCCACCCCCTCACACCCTCTCCCCCACTCCCCCCACAGCAGCAGGCGCAGCCGTGAGAGAGGAGGAGGCGTGGCGGCAGCTGCTGTTGCTGAGGCACATCCGCCACCCCCTCACACTCTCTCCCACAGCAGCAGGTGCAGCCGTGAGAGAGGAGGAGGCGTGGCTGCAGCTGCTGCTGCTGAAACACATCCGCCACCCCCTCACACCCTCTCCCCCCACAGCAGCAGGTGCAGCCGTGAGAGAGGAGGAGGCGTGGTGGCAGCTGGTGCTGCTGAAAAACATCCGCCACCCCCTCACACCCTCTCCCCGCAACCCTGGGAGGAGAAGGGGGGGGGCGGGGGGGCTGGTGCTGCAGATCCATTCCTGCCACCCCCTTAACCTCCAAGATCCCGCCACCCCCATACCCCCCCCCCCCTGCTGCACCCGCAGCAGGGGGATGGAGGAGAAGGGGGGGGCGGGGGGGCTGGTGCTGCAGATCCCCTCCCCCCCACTGCTGCACCCGCAGCAGGGGGATGGAGGAGAAAGGGGGGGCAAGGGGGCTGGTGCTGCAGATCCATTCCTGCCACCCCCTTAACCTCCAAGCTCCCGCCACCCCCATACCCCCCCCCCTCCCCACTGCTGCACCCGCAGCAGGGGGATGAAGGAGAAGGGGGGGCGGGGGGGGGGGGGCTGGTGCTGCAGATCCCCTCCCTGCCACCCCCTTAACCTCCAAGCTCCCCCCCCCCTCTCCCAACACAGCAACAAGTGCGGCAGGGAGAGAGAGGAGGAGGTGGTGGGCGGCTGACCACTCACACCCGCCACCCCCATACCCTCCCCCCCACTGCTGCACGCGCAGCAGGGGGGGAAAGGAGAGGCGGGGGGGGGGGGGGGGGGGGCTGCTGACTTGGTGACGAAGCAGAGCAGAGGGGCCCTGGAGGTGCAACCTCCCCCCAACACCACTCTTGCGTCCCCCCAACACCCTCCCCTCCCCTTCCCCCCGCCCAAACTGCTGCACGCGAAGTAGGAGAGGGAGAAGGAAGTGGGCGGCGGGGACGACGGGAAGCAGGGCAGCGGGGCCCCCGCGCGACGGGCAGAAAACCGTCGCACGCTGGGGGCGAGCGACGGGCAGAAACCGCCACACGCCCGGGGCGTGCGACGGGCAGAAAACCGACGCACGCCCGGGGCGTGCGACGGGCAGAAACCGACGCACGCCCGGGGCGTGCGACGGGCAGAAACCGCCACACGCTCGGGGCGCGTGACGGGCAGGGGTGCTGCATGACGGGCAGCGCGACTGGCGGGCCCATAATGGTAGGTCCTAAGATCAGAACCACTCTGATAACATGTCAAGATAGCTAATAACTTAGGAGATTAGGTTTAGCCATGGTGAGAGTTACGAGAGGAACGAGCGGGAGGAAATTGTCGAGAAAGAAGAAAAGGTGTTCAATAATGAGAAACAGTACAAGGATATAGGCAAGAACCAAGAATGGTGCACCCCCAACAGTTTATGATAGCTACACTAAACTACAGCTACAGGCAGTTACATATATATATTCCAACATGGCGATGTCGCTTGCATCTGTAACTACTTCGAATGGGCGGTGTGGGTCGGCGATGCGCAGTACGGGCGGTGAACAGAGAACATTTTTCAGGGCAGAGAAGGCAGCATGCTCTTTCTCCCCCCACGTAAAAGCGACCCCCTTTCTCAGCAAATCCGTCAGTGGTGCCGTTAACCTCGCCATGTCGGGGACGAACCAACGCACGTAATTAATGAACCCTAAAAAACTCTGCAGCTCCATGATATTTGTCGGGGGGTGCCACGCTTGCACCGTGTCCAACTTCTTTGGGTCGATCTCAACCCCAGCTTCCGAAAAACATGCCCCAGAAACTCTAGCCTGTCTTGAAAAAACTCGCACTTGGAACCCTTGGTCAGTAGCCTGTCCTCGTCTAAAATTTAAAAAACTGCTTCCAGATCTGCTAAGTGCTGCTGCTTGTCGCGACTGTAGACGAGGATATCGTCGAGGTAAACTATCACGCATTTATCTAAGAGTGGCCTAAATGCCTCGTTCATGGTCATCTGGAATGTCGCCGGTGCGTTGGTCAGCCCGAAAGGCATCACTGTGTACTCAAATGTCCCGTACCTAGTCCTAAATGCTGTCTTGGCGCAGTCCGATGGTTCGACCCGAATCTGATGGTAACCTCCCCGTAAATCGATTTTCGAAAAGACCCGTGCTGTTCGCAGTTGATTTATCAGTTCGTCGGCGCAGGGAATGAGGTATCGCGATTTGGCTGTAACCCTGTTCAGTGCCCTATAATCGATTCACATGCAAAAACCTCCATCCTTTTTTGGTGTGAACAGTATTGGTGCGGCGAACGGTGACGAGCTCGGACGGATGAATTTTTTCTCTAACAGGTGATCTAACTGCTTCCTCAGTTCGTTGAGCTCGGGCTGTGTCAGTCTGAACTGTCGCTGTACAGTTGGCTGTGCCCCGGGTTCTAACTCTATTCGGTGATTGTGTGCCCGCTGAGGTGGCAATCCCTCCGGTAAGTCGTCGGGAAAATCCCCGGGTACCGTTTCAACAGTTCCTGTAGTTCGGGCGGTACCGCTGCCAGCAGTTTCTAAAAATCGCTCGGCTGCTCTGCTTCTTCTACCACTGCGATATCTACCGCGTACACGTCAGCTCCAGCGGGGACAACCCGTTTCATTGTGATGGCGTTGACGTGGACCGTTGAAGTCTCAGGCGATTGCCAGCGAGGTAGTTCAATCCAGTTACCGCTACTTCGCACAGTGCAGCTACCCATCGTCCAGTCGATTCGCGGGTTGTACCGTCGCAGCCAATCACGTCCCAGTAAAATGTCGTGCCCATCCAATGTCGTTACGAACATTTCTTGTGTAAATTTGAAGTTCCCCCCACAGCGGACTTTTACTCTCTCCACCTTATCCCGTATGGCCAGCGGTGTTCCGTCAACTAAGCATGCGTCTATCTCCGGTAAACACCGACGAAGTGTCAGTTGCAGCTTCCGCGCAGTCGCGGTATTAACTAAGCGGTGACTTGCGCCTCCGTCTATAAAAATCTTCACTGATGCTCCCTGTATTTTCCCGTGGATCAGTACTTGGCAATCGGAACAAACTCCCTCCCCTGCTCTGTTCCGCGGCGCCTTAGCTCCTCTGGGAATTCGCTCTTGCGATTGCCCGGCCGATTGCAAGCGAAGCAGCGCCCCTTAAATGGCGCGGCAGCTGCATTCATCGCAACGGCGTGTACGGTGGCGTGCTCGGTCGGTCCACGAGGACGATGTCCGTAGTAGGACCCCAGTCTCGGACGGCGCAAAATGTCGATTTTCTTGGCGAGCGCGAGGATCTCGTTAAAATTCGAGAGCCAGCGTAGCATGATTTTGTGCGAGATGTCCGGCTTCAGCCCTCCGACATAACGGTCCACCCGCTTCGCTTCATGCATGTAGCCGAGTTGCTCGCAAAATGCGAGAAAACCGCTCGTGTAGTCTTGAACTGATCCGAGCTACCGCAAAGTACGCAGTCTTTGACGCGCTAAAATAGAAGCTGCGATCAGCTCGAAGTGCGCCCGAAGCCCTGCGCACCACGCATCCCACGTGCTGTACTGGGCTGTCTTGCAAAATGAACTCCAGGTGACGGCTGGGCCCGTGGGCCCTTCCTCTTGCAACGGTGGCCCGTAGGCGCGTGGCAACGTCACGATGACTCACCACCAGTCCATGGCGGGGCCCCTCAATAGCGAAACGGCGTAGCGAATCTTCGCTGCGTCCGACTCGACGTAATTCGCGTCGAAAAATACGTTCATCGTGAAGACCCACGATTGAACCGTCGAACCTCCACGTTGGCTTGGATCAAAACAGGGCGGGCGCTGCGGCTTGAGTGGCATTGATGCCATGATTTCGTGGTTGCCGCTTGTTGCTGCAAACTCCACGTGTCGACGAGCTTCGCGAGGCTCAGGCGGGCTTGGTGCGGCCCTATTTCTCTCCATGCCAGGCATTGAGTTAGCGGCGCCATCGCTGGCTACGCCTAAGCGTTGTCCCACGCTGTCGTTCTGTGTCAGTGTGCCTAATGAGATGACGATCGGCTCCTCCGATTGTGCAGGTGCATTTGTTGGTGCTGGTGCATTCACCGTCGATTGCTGGCGAGCGGAGTCGCGTTCCGCCGTGATTGTCGCAATTTCAAGTGTCGAATCTTCGAGTTGGAGCACGAGACGGTTGAGCTGTTCTTGCTTCAGTGTTGCGAGATTAATTTCAGCCATGGCGGGGGTGTCGAGCAAGCTCAGCGAGAGCCTCTGTCGTGGTCGTGCGTGCTTACGAGAGAGCACTTCGAGCGGCGGTGCTTGTTCGCTGAGAGACGTCTACCCCCCCCCAAAAAAAATGGAGGTAGTGGGGAAGCGAAGGTGTGGGTGCGGTCCGAGAGGAGATCGTAGGCTCTGAATACCAAGTGTTACGAGTGCAATTGAGTGAGCAAGAATTGCACTATCGAAGCAAGAGTACAATGAGCGAAGGTATGAGCGAAGAATATATAGCGAAACTACAGTGGTACTCTGTTGTGCTGTTCTCTGCTGTGCTGTGCGTGCTGTGTGCTGTGCTGTGCTGTGCTGTGCGGTGCTCTGGCATGGGTGGTGCTAGTTACGCTGCTATGCTGGGCGTTTCTTGCCTTACGATTTGCCGCTTCCACTTTCCATTCGCTCTGTCTCTACATTCCCTTCCCAACCTAATCATCTCACCTCCATGCAACACCCACTCCAGGGTGCTATACGATGGTTATGGGTGTGATGGTCCTGGCAGACATGATAGGGTACTGGTCGGCGCAGGTAGTGACGTTCATAGGCAACCACGACACGGGAAGCACGCAGAACTCGTGGCCGTTCCCTACCGACAAGGCCATGCAGGGCTATGCGAACATCCTCACCCACCCTGGCGTGCCCTGCGTTGTGAGTTGCTCTGCTCCGCTCCTGCCCTCCGAGTTTTGAGACGTCTCAAAACTAGACATTGCAAAACTCGTTCCTTGCAGACAAGGCCATGCAGGGCTATGCGTACATCCTCACCCACCCCGGCATGCCCTGCGTTGTGAGAACTCTCGCCGTGCCCCCCCCCTTCCTGCTTATAATTTCCCTCTGCTAGCTCTTTCCCTCCGCTTTCGCTTCCCCTCTTCTTGCTCTTCTCTTCTGGTTGACTCCCTCATATTCACCCTCCTCTCTCCCCACTCCCCCTCTTGTCCCTCCTCCTTCTCACCGCCATGTGGCCAGTTCTACGACCACGTGTTCACGTGGGGCCTTAAGAAACCCATTCTGGAGCTCATTGCAGTGCGGGAGCGCAATGGTATCAGAGCCGACTCGCCCATCCGCATCCTTGCAGCAGAATCCAACCTATACGTGGCTGAAATCGGCCCAGGGAAGGCCGGTTCAGATGGTGGAGCAAAGGGAGGGGGGAATGGGAGTGTGCGGGCGAGGGGGGGAAAGATAGTGGTGAAGATAGGGTCACAGTTTGATATGGGGAAGCTGCTGCCAAGCAGTAGTGAGTAATGTGTGGCGACGTAAGGTGATGGGTACTGCGTGTGGGAGAGTAAGGGTTGAGAGTACACGCAGAGTGAATGATGGGTGATGGGTGACGGGTGGTGGATGGTGATGGGTGGTGATGGGTGATGGGTGGTGATTGGTGATGGGTGGTGATGGGTGGTTCTGCTGTGTGAATGAGCGGCTGTCTGCATAGATATGACAGTGAGCTGTGGAGATTTTCTCGAGGGTGAGGTGGAAGGGAGGGTTGGACACAAGAAGAAGGGGCAGGCGTTCTGGAATAAGTGAGTGTGTGCATGTGTGTGTGTGTGTGTATATTTCTTCGTGTGCATGGAGTAAGTAAGGGTGTGGCAGCGTGCATGTGTGTGTGTTGGGGGGATGTGGGTACATACGAGTGTGCACGTCTGTGTGTGCGTGCGCGCACCCAGTCTCTGCACGTGGGGTTGTGTGTGAGAAAGAGAGCCATGTTGCGGCAAATGTGCATGGGCATGAGCATATAGTGCATGTACCCCCAGCCTGATCAGAGTGGCCAACTGGCCATGCAATGCTGCTACCCCACTCCACTCCGCTCCACTCCACCCCACTCCACTCAACTGACTTCCATCCCTCGCATGGCCCTCGACGGGATGCTGTTCTAGTCGCTGGATTTGCATCGCTTCAGGCTCCACTGAGCATTGCCTACTGCCCGTCAACTGTGCTGAGTGTGTGCTGGATATGGGTGCTGGTATACTTTGTCGACCCGTATATATGTTCTGCTTTCTCTTTATCAGATGCTTCTGGTTTTTTTCCTATGCATGGGAATCTTGTTTTGTGCATAGAAGCTGGCTTGTTGAGCTGTGGTCCTTCCTGGTATGCTACACCATGCCAGCCTTAATATTTCTATGCTTTTAGTAAATATACTGTACTAGCATCAATGCTAAGGTACGGTACTACATTACAAAATACAACTTTAACATTTGTACACATAACCACAGGCTGGAACAGAAACCTAACCTCTCCACAAACTGATCAACAGTAGCTACCCTACGGTAATTCAATAAAAGAAGCCAGTGGGTAAATAGGAGCTAGAAGTGTGAAAGGAGCTAGAATACCATAAGCTCCCGGAGCGGGAGCAGCAGTGGGAGCGGGAGCAGCAGTGGGAGCAGGAGCAGCAGTGGGAGCGGGAGCAGCAGTGGTAGTGGGAGCAGCAGTGGCAGTGGTGGCGGCCTCAACGGGAATGGACTTAGTCACACGCAGATGTCTAATGGCTGCAGCACTGCTAGTGGCACAGACACAGCTGCTCCTGCCCAGTCTAGTGGAAACACTGCAGCAGGCAATGCCGAGAGCAGCAGCAGCAACAGTGAGTTTAACAACCCGGGTGCCTCTGCAAGTAGTGACACTGTTATCAGTAGCAGAGGGAATGGAGGCACTACCTGCATGGATAGCCGTTACTCGGATCACAAAAGGCCAGCTGACCTTGTAGAAGCCCTGAGAAGGAATACTACCAACGCCAGTGACAGAGGAGCTGCTGCGTCTTCCTCTGGTAGTAGTAACACTAACACTGCAGGTCACTGTGTCCATCAGAATGCTTTTGCTGATGACTGCAGCAAGGGCAATGGTGGTGCTCGTAACCAAAGCGGGGGCCATTCCTCTGGTCGCTCTGCTTGTGATACAAACCGTCGGAGCAGGGCCAGTGAAAGTGGCAGTAGTAGTAGCAACAGTGGGAGTAGTTTCACCAACCATCGCCCTCCTTTCCTTACCCAAGTGCATGCTGCTGCATCCACAACCCCAAGCCCAGGCCCATCACAGCGCCCATCACCATATCCCCATTCCACCCCCTCATTACCATCCGCTTCAATCCGATATCCAGCCCCAACGTCCCCCACATCGTCCTGCTTCCCTACCTCATCGGCCCAGCGTCAGCCGTTCCGCCCTCCCCCCATCCGCCTCACGCCAAACGGCCTCAAGGAGCGCATTGCATGGACCATCAGTGCTGCTGTGGCGGCATCTGCTCGCCATGAGCTGCTGAGGCGCATTGCAAGGCAGCTGCCAGAGCTGAGGCAGGTGGCCATTGCTGACGTGCAAGGCCAGGGCAGCCTCTCTCTTGGACCTGAACATGTATGATGTGTTAGAATCCTAGGCAAAAGTTGTATTGAAATGTCGAGGGTTTGGTACAAGAATGAAACCTAAGGGGTTGTACCCCACAGTGAGTACCCCACTAAAGCCTATCTAAATAACAACATATACACATATGTTTGACACACCCCCATAGGCAAAGTGGGGGAGAACAGAGGGTCACAAGGCCAGGCAGGAAGTGCAAAGCAAGCTCAGGGTGGATCACAACGTCACCACGCAGTCTGAGCACAAGCAAGAAGGCCACAAGGCCAGTTCACATGTAGAGATATATATGGAACAACAACAGTACAGTGATATCTACCTACAAGAGCAAGTATGTGGGTATACATATAAATCATGGTACAAACAAAGCCTACAGCAAGTGAGGAAGCGTGGGCACAAGGCCTAACAAAGTGCAGAAACGCTGATGATCACCAGGCAGAAGCGCCTTGGTGAATATATCAGCAGTGTTGGCCCGAGTGGCCACGTAGGTAAGACGAAGCTGGCCACGCTGCTGCAGCTCTCGAGCAAGGAAGTAACGGAGAGCGATGTGCTTCGTTCTGTGCTCCAGTCTGTGCTCCTGACACAAGGCAATGGCGGCCTTGTTGTCGACGTACAGAACTGGAGGAGAACGAGGCCGCTCTCCCAAGTCGGTCCGCAGGTAGGTGAGCCAGCGCAGCTCCTGTGCAGCCATGGCTGTGGCGTAGATCTCTGCCTCACAGCTGGAGCCGAGAACTGAAGATGAACGTGTAGAACGCTAGGAAACTGAACCAGAACCAAGGCTGAAAGTATAACCCTGTGACGACCGCTGCGTAGCCTGGTCGTCAACCCAAGAGGCGTCCGAGTGACCAGTGAGGACAACGTCACCCCGTCCTCCAAGCACGAGCCCCATGCCCGATGTACTGCACAAGTAGCGTAGTACCCTCTTCGCAGCATCCATGTGCACTTTTCGGTGCCGACCAGGAGCCACGTAGCGAGCCAGAAGGCCAAGAGGGTACGCAAGGTCAGGACGAGTACAAGTCATCGGGTACATGAGGCAGCCCACTAACTCTGGGTAAGGACCACTCGGCTCTACGGACTCGTCCAAAGGTGGAGCTGAGAGCGAGTGACCTGTAGCCAGAGGAGTGGCCTGTGCTGAGGACCAGGTGAAACCGAAGCGCTGAAGGACCTGCTGCACCATGTGTGACTGAGTCAGTGTGATGGTGCGGCGTGCTCTGTCCCGGGTGATCTGCAAGCCAAGGTAGCTGCGCAGTTCACCCAGGTCTGTGCACGTGTGTCTCTTCTGCAGCTCCGTCTTCACCAGGGCAAGAGCCTCAGTGTCAGCAGTGGCAAAGACCAAGTCGTCGACATACACGAGAACGTAGAACGGCGGCAGCGAAGTGTCGGTGCGCAAAAACAGCGACGGGTCAGCAGTCGACGGAGCAAACCCAAGAGCCGCAAGTGTCGTCCTCAGTGTGTCGTGCCACTCACGTTGCGCCTGGCGGAGACCGTAGACCGGCCGCCGGAGGCTCCACTGGGTACCAGGAGGGAACGACCCAGTGAAGCCAGGAGGGCGGCGCAGCCAAATCTCCTCGTGCAGGCTGCCCTGTAAGAAGGCTGTGCTGAAGTCAAGAGAGTGAAGCTCGTAGTCACGCTGAGCGGCAACGTGCAGCAGCACCCGAAGAGTGGTCATCTTCGGGGTGGGGGAGAAGGTCTGGAAGAAGTCAACTCCCTCTCGCTGACTGAAGCCTCAAGCCACGAAACGAGCCTTGAAGACAGGCGGAGAACCTGGCGGCCGCTTCACCTTGAAAATCCACATGCCACTGACAATGTTCGCCCCAGGAGGGGGAACCTCGTCGACGTAGGTGCCTGTGGACTTCCAGGATGCCATCTCTGCGTCCATGGCTGTCTGCCACTAAGAGGAGTACTCACCCGCAATCGCCTCAGCGTAAGAGCGCGGGGTAGGGATGTCTGGTGCATCTGGGTCTCCCTCAGGGGCAAGCAGCATGGATACGAGATGAGGCGCAGCGGCTGCAAGACACTCAAGGTCCTCCTGCCTGTCCTCAAGGACACCCCTGACGGACGGAGGACAGACAGACGCAGACTCAGCAACAAGACTGGCGGCGTAGTCTAGACGACAGTGAGCAGCAAAGGCAACAAGCTCAGTGACTAAGGCAGACGCAGCAGCAGACTCAAACGACGGGTCAGTGACAATAGTGGCAAGCAGACGCGTGACAGTATAGTGCTCAGCACGAAACCGGTCAGACGCAGGGTCAGCAACGACAGGCAGAGAGGACACAGGGGGAGGCGGCAGAGGAACATACGGCGAAGGAGAGGAAGGGCGACGAACTACAAGGGGAGGGCCGGAGACAGCCGGCTGGCTCCGACTAGGAACACGACGACCGGAACTGACAGGGGAGACAGGACGCGACGCAGGCTCACGACGCTCTGCAAGGCCACCAGGCTGCTCTGTGTACGGAGAAGGAGCAGGCAGCGGTGAGCCAGGCTGTAACGGAAGACCAGTAGACGAGGAAAGACTGAGAACCTGGCGAAGTGCAGAGTCAGGTGGTGGCTCAGACGACGGAGACGGCGGAGCGAAGAACAGGCGCGGCTGAGCAGTACCACCAGCACGAGCAGCACCAGCCCCTCCAGCAGCTCCAGCACCTCCAGCAGCTCCAGCACCCCCAGCAGCTTCAGCACCCCCAGCAGCTCCAGCACCTCCAGCAGCTCCAGCACCCCCAGCAGCTCCAGCACCCTCAGCAGCTCCAGCACCTCTAGCAGCTCCAGCACCTCCAGCAGCTCCAGCACCTCCAGCAGCTCCAGTACCCTCAGCAGCTCCAGCACCGGCCCCAGCAGCTCCAGTGCCCCCAGTACGAGCACTTCCGGGACCAGCGACACCAGTGGAAGAACCTCCAGCAGGAGAGCCCTGAGATGCA